TCATTGGAGATAGAGAAAAGAAAACCCAACCCCCAAATAAAATTTAAAACGATGTTTTTAATGAGAAAGATTGGCTTGCCTACTTCCTTCCTGAAATCTGGCTTTTATTTTTGAAGACATCCATTTAAACTCCTCTTAAAATGCTGCAGCTTGGAAAATGGTGGCAGGCTAAAAGTTAGTTCTGGCATACGCTCCCCCTGGGCAGCTGCATGGCTACAACATTGCAGCCAATTCACTCTCTCCCTAACCGTCTGGGGTAGGCTTGTAGATCCTTCCCCCCTCCTTGCATTTTCCTTCTCTCTCCTTCCTCACAGTCATTCCTCCCTTCCCATCTGCCCTAATTTTCCCTGCAAAGGGGTCAGTTGAGATGGTCAGAGGGGATTTCATAGAAGGCTTCTGTCCTCCAGGCATAGTTATTGCCCCATTGAAGGGCAGAGACAATGTGCTTTTTAAAAAAAACAAAATGAACATTCAGCCTTCCTGTTTGCTTTGCATCTGCCATGCTTCTGCACCAAACTGGCAAGGAAGGCACTTTCTAGGATCCAGGGGTGTCTGCAGGGAGGGGGTCAAAAAAGTCAAGACGGAAGTCACGGCAGTGCAATAGAAGCCCAGACCTTTTTTACAGGCAGGGCTTCAACTGCATGATTGTGGCTGCCATTTTGACTTTTTTGACCCCCTTTCTGTGGACATCTCTACTTGAACTCCTCTCCTTTTGCAACTGTCCTGTGATCACAAGCCACACTTGGAGTAGCACCATGTATGCAATATAATTATCCAGTGAAATACTATTTGTTCCATCAGTGTATTCAGTTTATATGGCTATTTAAAAGAATGCTGTTTCAAATCATATTCAGGGCAGAATATTGAAAATATATTCAAATGTAGATGTATTCAGAGCTGATCCTAAATATCATGTGTACCTTCATTCACAGCCATACAAGAGCTGCTGAAAAAGAATCACATATTGTAGATATATTTAAAAGCGCTCTCATTAGGTACATCAGCTCAATTCTTTGAATTATTTTTATGCCCATGTTTGCTGATACTAGAAGGGAGATGTTGGGACTCTTATGTCCGTAGAATTCAGTCAATTGTGGAACCAATTAGGGTGATTTCAAGATATTTGAATGCTTTCTCCAAAGTGCCCACAAATTATAACTCTTAATGAGAGAATGTACAAATTAAATATATGAAGAGCAATCATCTCAAATTATTACATTAAATTTAATTATCCTAGCCTGATCTAGTTTTTCATCCCAGCTCAGACCACTGCTTAGCAATTCAGCATGTGACAGGCTGCTTCCAGGCCAAGCAAGGCCCCCAGGTTCAAAAGCTTGTCCATTTCTGCCCTAAAGCAACCAGAACTGAATCTGGATTGTCTCAAACCTTCATGAATGAATTAATACTTGGGAGGGCTGCACCAGGACAGACCAGCGTTTGCAGAAATTCTTTTTTTTTTTTTCCATAGTTGTAAAAGATCAAGGTGAAAAAAGGAGTCAAACATCTTGCAAATCTAATCTCAGGGAACAGTTTATCGAGGCTGTTCAGACCCTGTGCTTTAAGAGAGTGAAAACTGAATCAGATAAAATCCTATGATGAAGCCTGTTTTATGTCTTTTGGTTGGTACTCATCCTCAGCTAATTTTTGGAGGGAGACAGTTTTGTACACCAATACTCTTCCGATTTTTATCTAACCTAAACCAACCCTTGGATCTTTTCTTAAAACCTTCTACACTCCTTTTTCTCCCAGTCCACTTTTAGCAATTAAATGTTTTTGTAGTCACTGTTTGTTTTATGTATTAGAATTTAGTTGCATAGACAGTGGACTCTCCCTTCTCACTTCTGCCCCATCTTGCAAACCATAGTTGTATACTTAGTTCATTGGTTTTATCATGAATCACATTTTGTGTATTTTAATTTTTTATGATTCTTTTAAGTGTTTTAATACAATGCATTTTATTAGAAATGCATGAAGTATGAGAGAGAGAAAAATACATCATTTTACTTCTCTGTACTGCTTCATTGCATTCTTTCTCATGTGTGGGTCCCTTACACTGTGTTTTGTAATGCATGACTTCACTGTAGTGAATTATGTAATTTACATCAATATTCTTAACATTAGTAAAATATATGTAACATATATTATTAAATGCAACCAATAAGAAACTGTTTTTCAGGTCAGTAGTCTAAGTGCCTGTAAGAGAAGGCCACAAGACTATTTTTGCAGACCTTTAAATGTTTAAATTACTTTGAAACGCTGCACTGGGTCAATCTGGGGACTGACTGGTAAGTTTTACTGTAATTAACATGCTTTTTTTCTTTTTAAAATGTCACATTTCAGTGTAAAGCTCCCCACACTAAATGAAACTGAGCACAATTTAGTCTATTTTCACTTCTGTTTGAACAAGCTTAATCCATCTCATTTCTCAGTTTCTCATAATCTCTTTCTCCAGGCAAGATACTGTATGTGTGTTTGTCTGGGTCTGTCTGGGTTTTCTCCTCACATTTCTGAAAATTGGTGTACATTCCTTGAGGAACCTGGCAAGTGCTTCCAATCTGATCATAGCTGGCAGAATTTTGCCATGGGAATGAAAAAGCTACCTGGTTGCTTTTTGAAACAGGAAACTTCAAAGGTTTCCAACCCAGTAGAGGAAATGAGAGCAGTCACCCACTTATTTTATTTAGAAAAGAGGGGGGGACGTATTTAGGTTATTTGAATTTTAAAGTATTCTGAAATGACATTTGTGGGTTTCTTTACCTTTACCTGCACTAGCTCTTCTTACTCTCATGCAGTATCCCGCAAATAATGAAGATGTTGAGATGGGATTTTCTTGCTTATTTGCCAGTTTTGATCACATCTTCCCCTCATCCCCTTTGAACAAGAAAGGCCATTTCAGTTGTTGCACTCTATAGGACTGAGCTGGTTAACCAATCATGCCAGGATGTCAGCCCACTGTGTAGACCAAACCAAGAAATCAACTCCACAAGAAGGTTCAAACTACTTACGTTAATATTGGCTACAGTAACATAATCTTGCAAGTCTGACTGTGTTTAAATTCCCACCCCCCTCTTATACTCATGTAAATTAGGGAGGTGTCTGCCTGAGTCTTTTGTACATGCCTTCTTGTGTTGCACTTGTGAGATGGGGTGTGGAGACACAGCAGACAAACCAGCCTCAAGAAGCTCAGGTGGTGTCCCAGAGTCAGACCTTCCCCATGACTGATGCTGATCTGGTGATCTGCTGAAAGGGAATGGCAAGAAATCCCTGACTTGCACACTCACATATCAGGCCAACTTCCTTGGATGCTGATTTGGTGCGAAGGACTTGGCAATGAAGACAGCACATTTTATGCATAACTGCTTTGGGCCATCTAAAGGATGGGTGGAGATTACATCAATCAGTAGTGAGGAAAGCACCTAAAAACCAGTTGTCTTTTAAAAACAAGTTTCAGTTTTAAGGCAGATGGAGGAAGACCAGGAACGAACTTAAGTCTGCATCTTCTTTACAGGTTGGGTGACAAAAGTATTTAATGGTGATATAGCAAATCTTTTGTTCTGTTCTGTAGGTGCTGAATAAGACAGTTTTTATTGTGTTGCTTGAATGTGCACTGAAGTAAAGTGAATAATCATGACATTTTAGCAATATGTTTCAATTTGACAAAAATATTGTTGGGGGAATAAGCAGTTCTAGAAGCTTCATTGTCTGCATCGTCCTCTTACAAAACCAGTATTTTCTCATCTTTTTCTCTGTTTCAAGCCAAGTATAATAAAAAAAAAATCCTTTAGTATTTTCCACCTGCATTCCACTGTCTATCCACTGACTTGGAAATAAGCCTCACTGAATTCAGTGAACAAAGTTCTGAGAGAGAAAAAGGGTGTGTGTGTGTGTCATATTTATCTATATGTGTCTCCCTATTGTACTGATAAAAATTTACTTGAAATAAATTACTTCTAACTATTCATGTTAAGAATTCATGGAATTCATTTTAAAAACAGAAAATGAAGGTGCATTATAAGTGATTAAACATTATTTTAAAAGTTGTTTGCCTATTTTAATTAGAGTTATTTGCTGGTTTTTGGTTCAGAAAGAACACTAAAAATGGCTTATAGTCAACATGTATAGAAGCAAAAAATCATATCAATACAGAAAGAGAGTAAAAAAAATAAAAGCAGGTTAAAATATAAATAATGACAAATATAGAAATGTGTACTCTTGTGTACTCTTGTGTACAATAGAGAACAAAAGGTATACTCTATTGATGAGGAAGATTATAACATTACTAATTTAAAATAGTTATGCTTTAATTTCAAATTTCATGTGTTCTAATCTATGAAGAAGAAACATTAATTATATTAATGCTCCAATCTCCTTAATATTTAAGAAGTTTCTTTGCCTTGTGTTTAATATTTTGATATGCATATTCAATATAAAAAAGCATGTCCAATAATACTGCTCAAATTTGGGTGACATCCTCATCAATGAAGCTCCTTCATTGTGAATTAGCTTCCCAGCATCTGCTACATATGAAATGTGTTGCTGTTAGAGTGAGCTACGTATTTGAAGAGGATAATATTCATATTATTTCTGGTACCTAGTGGCGATGCAAGGAGGTGGATTAGAGAAAGAAGATGATGATTTAATAAAGCAAATATGCAGCATTAAGAGATTGAGATAAGCTGTTACATCTCCTTTCCTGACTTTGAACACTTTTCAAATGTTCTCTTATCCATGGATCCTATTCAACTACTACCTACTGCTGGGCGGGATGGATTTAATAATTTACATGTTACTCATTAAGAGCTTGACACTTTCACTGAGCTTTGAAAAGCAGGCATCTTTTTCTGCAACCAGCAGCTATGAGTAGGAATGCTCAGCTGTTTACTAACTGTTGGGTTTTCAGTGCAAATTATTGCATGGCTACTTCCTATACCTCTCTGTTAATATATGTAAGGTTAAGATGGTAATGGAAGGGATTGACCTTTGCTGATTTTTTTTCAGAAAAGCAGAATAAAAAAGCACGAAGAGAAAAGCATAAAATAAGTAGACAAGATATTTACAAGCATCATAAGGTGAAGTAAATTAAGTACACATTGTCAGAATAATGTTAATTTGGTTCTAGTATTTAAATATCTTATATCATTTTAAAACTAGAGATCATTATTAAAATCATGTTAATGTACAAGTGTCAATGACAATAATTGGCATAGTATGAAATAGAAGTTAAAGTGAAAAATTACTTTCTCATCTAGTCAATAAGAAATCTATTTTTATTTAACAAAGCATCCATGACTTATCTCATATTAAAAGAAACCCAGATTTCAGATGTGGTATAAGACCATGGGTAGAATTATAGTCCACAAAAATTATTTCCATGTTAAATTAAATTCTGTGTTAGATTTATTTTCAAATGTAATTGAAAATTAACCCCACAACTTAATTTGCCAGTAAGAAAAATGAAGGAATTGTATGTACTTTCCAGTGAGAAAACCATTTTTCAGAACTGCTGGGATTTACAGCATTGTGGCACAGCATGAAAGAATGATCCAAACTGACATTATATTTCCAGTAGTTTTTAGAAAATCAACTGTCAGTTTTAGAAATCAATACTGGAGAAATATGCCATCAGTAAAATATCTTATACCAGTTTTCTATGTGTGATATTCATTGTACATTTTTCTTCCATCGAAATTCCCATTATTAATAGCAATTGCTCTGTCTAAATTCTGAATCCATTTAATGATACAGAGTTTAAATTTTTCAGTTTCTGAGTCATATTTCACAAACAACGTATTTCACAAACAGCAAATGGAGTTTTGTGTTATAAAATTTTCAAATTCTGTCAAATCTCTAAGTGTTACATCAACACTGCTCATTTGAAGATATTGAACCAGTCAGAGTTCTAACCATTCTGAGGAGTCTCAAAAGGTTTCATCTTTGTCTTATTAACAATTAAATCTTACAATCTGTTTTATTATTTCTCCACTAATTAAATTTCTCTGCATTTTCATCTTAATTAAAATAAATATTTAATACAAAACAAGATATGATAAATCTGGACTATTTCCTTTTTCTGTGGTTATCCCATATTTGTAAAATGCTGCTTATTATTGAACAATCTATTATAAATTGTCTATTTCTGTTTGTATGAAGCCTAGAGCATTTGTGTAAACCACCTAGAAATCCTGCTGCCTCAACAAAGGTGATCCACCCATAGTGTGATATGATCCAGTCTGTTATCCAAGTTAGACAACTGGCTTGATAACATAGTTTGAAGTTTGGTACTGCCAAGCAGCCTCATTCTTCTGAAGCTTAAATGCAATCCTCAGTCAACCCATATAAAATTAATTATTTATCTCTGACAATCTACCTTCAATTTTTATTGGAATCATTTGAAACAGAAAGTTAAGCCTTGGTAGAAAGTTCATATTTACAGATGCAATTCTTTTTAAACAAGCCAGTTTTAGCTTCTTCCATTTTAGGGTATCTACCATTATATTTTCCCACATTGGTGAGGAATTATGTTTAAATAAATCTTTATTGTTTTTTATTTCAAAAAATCCCAGGTATTTAATCTTCTTAGCACCAATATTGAACACCATTATCTGTTGCAGATACTGCTTTCCTTCTTCAGATGAATTCCAGGTCTGCATTTGAGTCATGTTAATCCAATTCCCTGATACTGAACCATACTGCTGTTTCTAAATGGTTTTTTGGGTGAGTATATAACCATAGATTCAATAATTTCAACATATAATTTCAATTTCTGTTCTTGGTTTGCAAATTTAATTCCTGAAATTTTATTTGCTTCTTATATATTTCTTTGCCACTGGCTCTAATGCCAGTGTCCTTGTCTTCTTCCCTTCACTGTAGTATGTTTTTTTCCCACAGGAGACGTTTTACTATTATATTGGGTTCTTTTTATATATAAATACTCTGAATCCAGAGCTTTGTTGGATTTTCATTAGTGCATGATTGTACTAGACGTTCCATTCCATTGTCTTTCGTTACCTCTTTTCTAGAGAAGTACAGAACAGCATCTCCGATACTCAGGTAACATCTAATTAGTTCAATATTTACTGATGTATTGATCAAGTCAGACCTTTTAAATAGGAGCAAAATGTTGACGTATAGCTAAAAATGGACTAAGGAACAGGAGGAAATGTTAACTATTTTATTTGTTTATACTGTTGTTAAAGAATTAATGAACTATTTTAACACTTTTGATACTGTATTTACCTCTTGCTATATTCTGTTCTGGTGATAGAATTTTAAATTGCTTCTTACTGTGTAGTAATTTTTGCTAAAAATAATTATATTTCATGTTGTGTCTTACTGTGGGATGAAAGTACACTGTGTTTTTCTAGAATCCCCATAACATTATTTTAATATTCCTATCTACTTTCACCACTGAAGTTTTCCCAAGTAGGATGAATTCATAAATTCTCCAATGTAACTCCTCACTCCTGATTTCACTGAAAGTCCTAGTTGCAGTTTCTCACTCTTCACTTCATAAAATATTTAAAAGAATGATTCTTGGTGGCCGCTTTTGTTATTACCTTGGAAGAAGGGATCTGGCAGGGAGGTTTTAAGTTATTCTTCCTTCCAGTTTGGTTCCTTTCTAAAAACTGGCTTCCAATTGTCAGTTTCCGGTCCTCTGACTCTTGAGTTTGATTTGAGGAACGAAACAATGATATCAAATTTTAACTAACTTTAAGTATGTTTCTTATAATTTAAAAACTAGATTACACACACAAGAAAACTCTCAGTGGATGTTTAAAAAGGTTGGCTATCATCCTATTTATCTGAAAGTATTATACAATACATATGAAAAAATGTTACTGTACATGCATTGGTCTTGTCCACCATTAGCTTTTGGGATATACATTATTACTGTAGTGAACCAGGTCATAGGGAGGAAATTAATATTCAAAGATGTTAAAGTGTTGTTGAATTATGTCACCGAATTTGAAACTGGTCTGTTTGTGAAGACTTTGGATGTCTTCAACTGTTGCAAAGAAAGAAAAAAGGTAATTGTGTTTTCTTGGAAGGACACATGTATATCAACTAAATCTCCTAACTCTCAGTCTTTAAATTAGTTCTTTATTGATGGAGAGGCAAGATTGGACAATCTGATTCCATATTGTCTAGGTTAAATTTTCTTTTTAAAAATGGATTTATAATGATTTATATTGTTATAATAGGGTTTTTTTTTTTTACTATTTTAGTATTCTGTACTAAAGTAGAGAAATATTATGGCATTATTGCATTTTTAAAATTTTATTTTAAAAGGACTCCGTTTTTTAATATCTCCAGCAATGAGGGAGGGGCTGGGATAATTGCCCCTATACATGTCCTAAAACCGTGACTTGCTCAGCGTGAATGTTGATTGGCCATCAGGCATGACACTTTATAAGGACTGGGTGGTGGAACAGTCAAGCAAAAGAAGGCAATACTGGGCACCTTCTCCCAGGTTATATTTCACCAGGAAGAAGGGACTAAGAGAGAAGGATTGGGGAGGATCCATGGAAGGATGGATCTGAGGGAATTTAGAGCCCAGGTCTGGGAATACTTCCCTCAGAAGACAGAGTTAGGAATTATTTTAGGGCTGGTGTAGGCTAGCATTGTTAGGATGGATGGATGGATGGATGGATGGATGGATGGATGGATGGATGGATGGAAGGAACACACACACCCAATGAATGAAATAAATGAACCTGTTTTGAAGCCTGTTTTTAATTATTTAATAAAAGTCAGTTTGTTCCCATGTAACCAAAAGTTTGTGTTATTTTTTATCTTCCCCATGTTCTATCCTGTTTTCTTACCTTAGAGACTTACAGAGTTTCAAAACCCTCCAAGGGATTTAGTGTTGGCTGTAGAAAAAAGAATTATAAAGGAAAAGACCTCCCCTACACACACACACACACACACACACACACACTCATCCACCAGAACAAGGAAGTTATGTGATAGGCTGACAGTATTGTGATCATAGGCTGGCATTCGCCACAATCATTTATCAAAGAAAGTTGATCATAATACTGCCTAGTAGCAACAAAGAGATTTGTTGCTCTTATCATTTTAGGAAAATATTTAGTATTTCTGTTCTAGAATAAAGGCTCCATGGAGTTTGTAGTGTATGCATTTGAGGGCCATGTACTATAAAAAAAAAAAATGGAGACAGCTTATTTTTAACTCTTCCATTCAGCAGGACTTCTTTCTATATATGTATCATCAGGATCAGACTTTAGAAGTATATAGTGTTGTTTTGTAATCTTACTGTAGCTTATACAAATAGAGATTCACGAGCAGGTGACTAAAAAGAGAACACTTACTTGATTCTGTTGAAGGTCTTGATAAGCTAAATAGAAATTCAGAAGATGTCAAAGTAGACACCTGTGAATAATTGGTTTTCTGTTACATCTTTAATTGCTTATTCATAAAGCCAAAAGCAAATGCAATCCTGAAGATTTGGGGAATCTCAGATTCTTCTCTGCTAAGATGAAAAAATAGATTCTCAGCATTTCCAAAAAGACTGCATCTGCCTGACATTTATGAATAAGATGGCAAAGACTGAAAATTAATTTTAGTAGAAGTAGAATACTAAACAGTGCAGTTTCAACATAATCTAAACTAAGTTCCAAAATAAATCAAATGCTGGATTATTTGGAGGCTTCACAAACTATGCAGAATCAGAGAAATGGACAATCCTGCACAACTCAAATGATGTAGCAGAACAGATTGGGCAGAAAGGAAGACAATTTGAGTCAGGTAGCAAAAAAAGCTTATTTATAGGCTCCATAGAATTGGCACAAGCTGATTCTGTGAACTTTGTAATGTAATTTCAAAGCAATCTCTATTTTATTTCTACAAATTCAGCTGAATTGTGGAGGAATTAATCCTGAGATTTCTGGAAAGTAAGCGGGATACATTCAACATGGATATAACACTGATACAGTATATCTGCAATGTTTGTGATTTTTTAGTCTGTATATTGTAATACAGGAGCTAACTGCATCCAGGTTTCTTCTTGATTTCAAGTCTCATCTCAGATAAATGCCAACAGCCTGGGAAAGCAAACAGGTTTGACAGGCTTGGCTGTTGCTTCTCTATCCTAAAGGTAAGGCAAGGTAATGTTGGGCTTGTCCCATTTCAGTTTCATTACAGTTTCAAAAGATTGGGGGTTTTTTTTAAAGAGAAAGAAAGAAAGAAAAACCTCCCTATTTCCATTCACTGTCACAGGCCTCCAGCAATCCCAGTATAACTCAAGTCATACACATCAACACTAGCGTCTGGTATTCAAGACATGAAAAAGAGTGAGGGAAATCGCCTCCAAAGTGATGGGCATGTGATGGTTTGAAATGAAAGCCTCCAGTTACTCATTTTAATAAACCTTTCATTATTTACTTATTTACATACTACCTTCACATTAACATTCTCAAGGTAGTAGACCTCAATAAGAACTTTAAAAACAACTGCCATGGAATACTGTATATTGGAAAAGCATGAACCACTAAAACACCTAGAGTTACCACCAGATCTGGCTACAGAAATCCAGATGGCCACTAGATGGGAGCAAATACATACTTTTGGCTACCACCTAGCAATTTGGCCTTTTGCAGCCCAGAGCTGATAGTTCTGCCTAATTAGCATACACAATCAATAACTTCAAATCTATTGATTATGCTATGCTATTTTTTTCATTCCTTAGCTTTGGGATAGGTCATTACCTATGCCGGCTATCTAACCTAATTCCTTGCATCTTTGCCCTGTGGTGGAAAAGGCCCTCCCCTGTGTTCAAAGAACTAATCCTCTGAAGACGGTAGCACATGGAGTGCAACAGGGATTGATCGTCTTCAAGGAGAGGCACTATCATGGGGAATGAAATAGTTCCTCAAATATTATAGATCAGTGATGGCAAACCTATGATATGCGTGTCAAAGGTGACATGCCACAACATTTTGGGTGACACGCCAGCATTCACCAACACCTGGCAACAACTGTTCTCCCTGTTTGAGTTAGCAAAGAAACTCAGTTTGTTTTACTTGAATTTCATTTTTGTAATTATTTGACGCTTCTTTGTATAATACATGGCACCACAGATGATTGGACTGTATTTTTTAAAAAATAAATGAATATGTTAAGAATTCTTTCTCTTTTTTTGGGCGGGGGGACACACCGGCAGAGTCAAGTTAGGCATTTTCCAAATGTTTGACACACCGAGCCCAAAAGGTTCACCATCACTGTAATAGATCCAAGTCAAATACATGTTGAATTTGAAGCTTGGCTCAGAGATCTAAGTTATAAGTCAACCTGCAACTACTTTAGAGATGTAGAAATTGATAAAGTACTAGATAAGACCGATAGCAGTCCATGTAATTCAATGTTGTCATCTGCCTTGAGTCTTTTGCAGCCTCTGGACGTGGCAGGATTCAGTGTGGGCTATTTTAAATGCAAAGCAAGTGCCCTAGTATTGAGCTTACTGAGAGACAGATCTGTAGCCAGATCTAGACACATCTGTACACATCTGTAGCCCGATCTGGTGGTAACTCTAGGTGTTACCACCTAGTGTTAAAATGCTAGGTGTTTTAGTGGTTTATGCTTTTCCAATATATTCCATGGCAGTTGTTTTTAAAGTTCTTATTGAGGTCTACTATCTTGAGAATGTTAATGTGAAGGTAGTATGTAAATAAGTAAATAATGAAAGGTTTATTGAAATAACTGGAGATATTTAGAAATCAGATAGATATGCTTCGGCTATCAGGCATCACTACTGATAGCACCTTCAACAGAATGTAATACTGATGATTGAAAGACAATTATGGCATACTAAGAGATAAGTAATGGAAAGAACTATATTAAAATAACTTGAACATTGAAACTAATTTGGAAAGTTACTGCTTAGTAACATTAGTTCTGTTGGAAGTCTATCAAAAAGAAATTTAAAGAAAACTACTTATTAATCTTGAAACACAAAATACTATAAATCACATAAAAACCAAGAAACTCTAACATATGGACAGACTAAAATTAAATTTATATGGTTGTGTTATCATTCTATATTACAATTGACTGTAATTCTGTATTAATTTTTAAACTAAAAAAACCCTTTCATCAGAGATTTTCCACACAGTAATCTAGTAACTAGAGTTAATACTTCTGGGCGTGCTTCTTGTCTGGACTACCTCGCAAGGCTGACAGACTGGGAAAGTAATCCAGATGTGAGACAATCAGCATAAATCTGCACAGCTCTAGAAAGGATGATTGGGTCATATATAATTGACTTGTGTACACTCGTGTGATATGCAAGGAAAATATTGTTGCAATATTGATGTTACCCACAATTTCTGTGTGTAGGGACTCTGTGAATAGTCATACATCAAGCCATAATCAATACACAGCAATATACAGATAATACAGACCTGTTAGCCCCTCCTCCATAGTTCCAATCCAGCTGAATCAGCATCCCTGAAGCTGCTCTTCACATTTTTTAATATTCATATTAATTGTATCCATGCTATTAACTGTTGTGCTTAATTTAATCCTCAGGCATCCAAATTGATAGGCAGTAGATTTTAGATGGATGAAAGAGAGGATCCTTTAAGCAGGAGGACTGGAGGATGGGTCTATTAACTTTTATAGCTGAATGGAGCTTCTGCCTATAAAGATAGCAGGCCTTAGAAGACCAAGAAAGAGATGATTAAAAACAAGAGCTGATGGCTGTTGCCTTCACACTGGCCTGGTTGTCCTCTGGTCATCTGCTGTAGCAGGTTTCCTCAACCTCAGCAACTTTAAGATGGGTGGACTTCAACTCCCAGAATTCCCCAGCCAGCAATGGCTGGCTGGGG